CTTTAACTGTTTTTAACAGTTTTGGTAGTACTAAAACGTTATTTAAATAGAGACGATAGTGTTATTTCATTACCATTAGAACTTATTGAAGTTGTTTCTGAAAATATCGTGTTATTTCATTACCATTAGAACTTATTGAAGTTGTTTTTGAAACTATCGTGTTATTTCATTACCATTAGAACTTAGTGAAGTTGTTTCTGAAATTATCTGTTATTTCATTACCTTAGAACTTAGTGAAGTTGTTTCTGAAATTATCTGTTATTTCATTATCTTTAGAACTTACTGAAGTTGTTTCTGAAACTATCGTGTTATTTCATTACCTTAAGAACTTAGTGAAGTTGTTTCTGAAACTATCGTGTTATTTCATTACCTTTAGAACTTAGTGAAGTTGTTTCTGAAACTATCGTGTTATTTCTTTATCTTTAGAACTTAGTGAAGTTGTTTCTGAAACTATCGTGTTATTTCTTTATCTTTAGAACTTAGTGAAGTTGTTTCTGAAATTATCGTGTTATTTCATTATCTTTAGAACTTACTGAAGTTGTTTCTGAAACTATCGTGTTATTTCTTTATCTTCATGACGTACTGAAAGTGTTTCTTAGACTAACACGTTATTTAAATGTGTTAAGCCTAACTAAAGAAGACACACACAAATTATTACTATTATTGTATTTTAGCATTTATTATCAAACATCCCCACCTACATCGCAAGAACAACCAGTTATTACTAATGTTGTGTATAGTATAGGAAAGTGTTCAGATGTGACAGAATACTCCCAGTAAAAAATAAAGTTTTTTTTTGAGTTTTCAAAGGTAAATTGAAAGCTAACACAAAACCAACCCAACCCTCTGAAATCGAAAGAAAAGTCCAAATTCTCAGAATTTTTACCAAAAGGACATACCAGGGCACACACACACACACAAAAGCACGATATGAAAGTTACAATAACATAAACACACTGTTTTCGTGAAAAGCTAACAGGTCTTGTATATTTGAGCACTTGAGTCACTTAAGTTATCGGTTTTCCTTGACTAATGCACGATGCTATATCGGTCTGGCGGCTTTTCACAATCTGAAATAAGACAGCAAACAAAGATAAAATAAAATAAAAATTAGAACAGATAGATCATCAGAATGTGTCGAAAACTCTTGAAATTAAAACTTTTAGCATTGTCGATATGTAACGTGTACTCCATGTCAAAACACAAAATCAGACAACAAAAGCTATTTTATTATTGCGCTTCCCCTAGTTATTAGTTTACAAAAGTAATAGCGTGAGGTGCTGCCATCTACAGGTTATCTTACTAACTGATAATATATAAGTGAAAAGAGAGGAGAAATTAATATAAATGTGCTCTAATTCCAAATTGTGTTATATGGCTCAAAATGGAGTAGCAGAATATAAATGAAGAAAAAGAGTAAAATAACTACATTTATTCTGACCAACAAGTAGGCATAATTACCAAATAATATTGTTACACATGTAGAAAAAAAATCCTTTTTTTTAACCACTCTCAACTTTCAGAACAGCATTGTTTTCACCGCTAAGCTAGCTCCCTCTGAGAATACGACAGTTGTTTTCTAGGGTTTATTATGGGGGGGGGGGGGTGTATCAGAGGAGGGGTCAAGCGTTCTAGTGCTGATAAACAAAATAAATAATTATGTTTTAAAATGTCTATTTATTCTATTTAATTATAAAAATGACGAAATTATTTCAGGTTTTGTTTATACGACTTTACGACGGTCTGATTGTTGTGTCAAACCCACCCCCTAGGTCTCATCCGATTGGAGAGACATCTTTCGGTTCAAGTTATATAGTATGACTACCTCACCCGTCCAAAAAAGTTAACGCTTTCATGGCAATGGAGGACATAATGAAGGGAGAATTTAAAAATCTTTAAAGACCAAATTTTTATATCACAGGTGGAGAAAAAGGAAGATATTTCCAATGGTGGGTCTGCCCGACACTCCACCCCAGTTGACACATCCCTAGGCTCATGGAAATTTTGTTTGCTTCTTTGTAATTAAGCACAAAGCTACACAATGAGCTATCTGTGCTCTGCCCACCACGGGTATCGAAACCCGGATTCTAGCGTTGTAAGTCCGCGGACATACTGCTGTGCCACTGGGGGGCTGGTGATTTTGAAAGTTTATAATGGTAAAATTCAGGGTTCAATTCTCGCAGTGAGTACAGCACAGATAGCTCATTGTGCAGTTTTAAGCTTAAGCAACACTCTAAAAGGCAAACATTATGCCATTATTAAGATGATACTTGTGAAAATTTTAAATAACACAGATGTTTAAAGAAAAAAAAATCAACGATTAATGATACACAGTAAATATTTGAAAATTACACTTTCCTCATTCTCAAAATAGAATGAACAAAATTCAACTAATAATTTACTGTATAAAGATAAAAAAAAGTAAGGCTGGGAACAGTCTCAAACATTCTACGTGTTTCAACGTCTTACTGTCACATCATTAGGACTAAACATTCTACGTGTTTCAATGTCTTACTGTCACATCATCAGGACTAAACATTCTACATGTTTCAACGTCTTTCTGCACCTGTCTCCACACCTTGCTTGCCGCGAGTGTAACAGAGGCAACCCACAGTCACCATAATCTCCTCTAACACGCAAGGCCCGGCATGGCCAGGTGGTTAAGGCACTCGACTCGCAATCTGAGGGTCGCAGGTTCGAATCCCTCTCACA